CACTATAAACGTGAGGAAGAGTCACTTGATCAATAACTTGCCTAGAACTGTAGCCAATGTCTGTCTGAAAATCCCATGTTGCTTCTTTAAAAGTAGCCTGTTGTTTTTAACTGTGAGTATAAATGTTTATATAGCAAAAATTTTGGAATAAACCCAAATGTACAAGCAAAAATCCATCACACAGAAATTACCATTTTCATATATTTCTGTCTTTTTCAAATGTATAATGTGGTAGGCAGAATAACGGCTCCCAAAGCTATCCATGTCCTAATCTCTAGTAGGTTGCACTGCATGGCAAATGCACTTTGCAGATGGGATCAAGCTCAAGGACCTTAAGGCAATGAGATAGTCCTGGACTATCCAGGAGGTCCTCCTGTCACCACCTGGGCACTTAAAAGTGGACGAGGAGTAGAAGAGCCAGTCAGAGATGTGGCACAAGAGGCCAGAGAGAACGGAAGCCCGAGAGCTACTCACCTGCTGCTGCTGGCCTGCAGACAGAGAGATGCTGAGCCAAGGCCTGGTTTCTGAAATCTGAGAAGGGACCACAGCCGACAGCCAACAAGGAAACAGGCCTTCAATCCTATAGCCACAGGAACCAAATGCTGCCAACACCCAGAATGAGTCTGGGAGGGATTCTTCTCCAGGATCTCCAGAAAGGAACGCAGCCCTGCCAGTACCTTGACTCTACCCAGAGACACCTGTTCTGCCTTCTGACTTACAGAGCGTGAGATAATAAACTCGTGTTGTTTTAAGCTGCTAAATTTGTGATAATTTATCATGGTAGCAATAGAAAAAGATTTTTCCATATACACATATGTTAAAAAAAACTCATTGGATACATTTGTGAACTGAATTATGTCCACCCCAGCACCCCCTCCCCGTGCAGATGTTGAAGCTCTAACCCGTAGTACCTCAGTGTGACTGTATTTGTACTCCAGATGCAAAGCTGAAACACCAGGACTTTTATCACAGACCTTGACAGGCATGCCATCTAAAGCTTTGTGTTCAAGATTGCTTTATGATTTCCAAGTATTTTTTTAGCTTTAAATCCGCTTTGATAGAAGTACACACCAGACTTGAATGCCCGAAGGCTGTTTGCAAAGTCAAATCCTTGGAAGACAGGCACATCCTGCTAGGGGCTGATGAGCAAGGCAGACGTCACTGTTAAGTCCCACGGTGTACAGGTATTAAGGTGTGCCCACATGGCCAAATACGCTTAAAAACAGTGTGAAGTTCTATGTGTGTGTCTCTGTCTAATCTATCTCCATCCCGTCTCTCAGTTATGTATAACTATCTGTCCATCTATCTATCATCCGTCTACTGCAATGAGAGGTTTTATTTTAAAATTCAATGTCAAGTGGAAAAGTATAAGTAGTTGTGTGTTTTCAGCTTTCTCTCAGAAATTAAGTTAAAACCTATCTAATACACCCAGACAAGCCAGTGTTTTTGTCCCTTTAGTTAAGTGTCTATGAATCTTGCCATGGTCATAACTCAGGGTTCAGGCCTTCCCCAGGGAATCCTTTCTGATTGTGGACTTCCCCTGTCCTTCCTGTCCTCTCCCCCTTTCCCTTTGCTCCTTCAGCTTTGTGCTTTCCTCAGGAGACTGGCCTCAGGCCCTTCCGAGACCTCTTCTCTGGCTGCCTGGTCTCAGGCCCCCATCTCAGTCTCTGTGACTCTTGACTGACTCCAGTTCTCTCAATTAGAGGAGAACCTGCCACCTTAAGAAGGGGACATCCTCTCCCAGGAGCCCCTTGGCTGGGATCCCCGACCTTCTGCCCATTGAAAGAGCACTAGGATAGGATTACATATCTCAGGTCCAGGTGGTTCTCACCTGAGTGGCCACATGTCCGTGTCACAGCAGCAGGTGATAAGCGGGCCTTCCACCCAGCTGAAAGGCCTCCCAGCATGGTGGCAAAGGCAAGGGCCAAGCACATGATGCTGAGCTGGCAGATTCATCCTGCCATGCCACCACTGCTGTTGCCCAGTAACCAGCCTCATGTGCCCTGTGTCCACGGGCCACCCAGTTTCTGCTCCAGAACAAAGCCTCTGAGCTACAGACCTTGGGTTCTTGGTGCCACTTACATGGTGCAGACTTCTCCTGTGGGCCTCAGGAGTGGGCTCGTCCTCGCTGAAGCTCCCAGCAGATGCAGCCGAGCTGCTGGTGGTCCTCCTGATGCCCTGGGCCCCCGCCAGTCCTGCACACTTCTTCCACGGGCCTGGACTCACTCTCTGCTCAGTGTGGCCCTTGGGTGTGTATTGGCTGTGCCCCAGGCTCTGCGAGCTCTAGTCTGGGAGCTGACACTCCATGGGGTGGCCATAGGGAATGACTGGCAGGGGAAGGAAAGTCCAGCTCCTGCCTCCGGAGGGATGCTCCCTGGGGCTCCCTTGAGGATCGGGCTGAGTGGGCAGAGGCACTGCTGGCAGGAAAGGGCCCCAGGGGAGGAAAGGATGCAGGGCCATCGCATCAGTGCCGGCCATGTGCGGTGGTCTTACAGGGTGCTCTGTTCCAGCCACAGCTGGGCTAAAGTGCTTATTCACTTGGAAAACCAAGAGTGGCCTCAGATCTGCTTGATTTGTCTTCCCCTTCCTCTGTGGAGCAGGGGTGGGATAGGGCTGCAGAGCCTGCACCAGGGTGCTGGGTGCAGGGTGGCTGCAGGGGCTCTGTCTGCAGGGCAGGCCTGGCTTCTCCTAAACCAGGGCTCAGCAAACATTTTCCATAAAAGACCAGATAGTGAATATTTTATGCTTTGTGGGTCACATATTCTTCTTTGCCCTTGCTGTTGTTTATATGACAAGAGTTTAAAAATATAAGAGCAGTTGCATTCATAGCTCCCAGCCATACCAAATGACTAGATGCCCTGGGTCCTCAGTTTCTGGCCCCTGTGAACCTGGACCAGCAGCCCATGAGGCAGAGAGGGGAGGGCAGGGGTGACTAAGGCAGTGGGGGCCGGGGG